GGATATTCGCTTGTGATACACTCGTAATCGACGCTCGTGACACACATTGTACACATGATTCGACCAGAGATTAGACTAGATTAGGGTTAGGCTGAGATGCGACGAGAGAAATACTTTAATCAGACGACAGGAATTTTGTAACCAATACACGATTGTAACCAACACGCGTCGCGATGTGTGTTCACCGACTGCTCGTAACGTAATGCATCAGTCACGGTATAACACGGAATAACACGGAATAACACGGCGACGAGCGACGGACGCTCGACAGCTTTGACCACCGCGAAGGACGGCGAGATGTTTTGAAAGCGTCGATCGCTATCTCTCTCCTGGCCGCTGACGCGCGTCGTATGTTATCTGTTGACGATTTACGCGCGCGACCTTTCCTTGCTTGCTCGAACGTATTTTTTCACGAACGGGGCTTACCTTCGATCTCGAACTCCGCAGAACGATGCGAGGCACGCGTACCGGTATGTTGAAATGGCGGACGAATTCGAATATTGCGCACATAGAAGCATGTCGCGCCCCACCACCGCGCGGACACTTCTCGAACTACAGTCTGCGGTGCGTATCGCACCGCACCTACACTATCTGCACTTTATTGCAAACGGCGTCTTTCGGGGACTTCTTCCCCCCTCCCATCGAATTGTAAATTTACATTTACTTAATTTAAAAGAGCATAGAGCGCATATCTGCGTAATATACAACTGTTAACCCCATTTTCAATGCAATACCGTGGGCAACGATACATTGTATACTTCCTGTTGTATGGAATTATATATTTGACTCTTTTAATTTGATTTCATATATTTCGTTATTAATTAACGGGAAAATTTTTCCTTTTAGATATATAACGCGGAAATTATTATACTTTGATCGCAATTACTAGTTGGACGTTAACAAAAGTCGTGAAAAAAAATAAACAGATTTAAATTTTTATTTATTACAACAGAAGATATTTTTATTATATTATTTAATAAATATTTTGAGAGAGAGATAATATCGAGTTTTAAAAGATTCGAAAATAAGTCTTTCTTTACGTCTGAACATCGAGAAAACAATGTCAAATACGCAATTATAAGGAATCAATATAGGACAACAGTCTACATGAGCTTAAATCTCGATTCACAATCTCGATTGTGAATTTCAATTTGCAGTCTCAATCCTCGAATCTCGATTATTGAATTTCAATTCTGAGCTTCAAAAGTTCGTCGGAATGCACGGAGTCAATGAAGAGTCGAAACTACGGTCGGGGAAATTAGAGCGTTAGTGACGGGGGGAGAGGGGGCAGAGGAAAGTAGCACGCGGTAGTTGGCGGTAAAACTCTGTGGAAATTAATAGTCGATTAGCCGGTAGTCACACTATCACTAATTGCCAGTACCGAGTGAAAGAGAGCAAGAGAGAGCGCGAGGAAGGACGAGCGATTGTGTGTGTGTGTGTGTGTGTGTGCTGTGTGTGTGTGTGAAGAAGAGCGAGCCAGATTCTACGGCCGCGAAAGGAAGAACGGCGAGCGCGCCGATCCGGGCGAGGGTTGCACAGGCAGGGGATGTACAAACGCAAATACGTAACAATCTCGGTCACTTCGAATCGAGTCGATTCACCTGGAGAGCGACGAGCTTCCTCTAACTACTCTTGCGGAATTCCCGCGCGGCCGCGCCGCGCTCCGTCACGTAGTTTGTTGTAATAACGAGGAACTAATTAGCGAATGCAGATGTGCGTACGTTTGTCCAGTACAGTGTTAAAAGATAAAACGAGAAGATAAGGGGAGAATACGAAATACGCGGAGGTATAGAGAAAAGGTATCTCGCGCATATACCTAGAAAGCTCCCTCGAATTTATCAAGTGAATTTCGACGCCGACCGCCATCGATCCTTGAGCTATCAAATTCGTGGACCCCCCGGATTCCGGGGTGATCCCCGCTGTGGCGGCCGAACCCTCGGAGCCGCGGCCCCTCGCGAATACCCTAAACGAGCTTAGGTCCTCGCGTTCTCGAATCTCCTCGTGACTCGCCCGAATGACGAGATTCCCGAATGCCCGGACCTGCATCTCCGGATTTCCTCGGGGCCTCGGATCCCGCGGCCTCCGGAGTCCCCCCGCACACCACACGCGGACCCCGTGGCCGTCCCCCGAATCCCACGGGTTCGGAAACCGCGCGGTGATTCGCGTGGTCGGGTTGCCGAGGCGTGCTTTGCAAGCGCAGAGCTCGCGACTTCCGGTGTGCGTTTGCGACTACCCTGGTGGTCTCGATTTCCAGACACGATCTCGATCACAAAGCACCGACGGTTCGGCCCGCGCGAATTTGCAAGCACAAGACGCGGTTTTTCGCGCACGCCGCTCGCAACCGACGCGTTCGGGAATCGCGAAACGTATTCCCGGGGGGTCGTGCGCGATCCCTCCCTCGAGAATAAAAGAAAGAGAGAGACAGGAAGACAGAGAAAGATAGAGAGAGGGAGAGAGAGAAAGAGAGAGGGGCGAGTGTCCCGAAGTTCGTGGTGTATTGTACGCGCTGGTATTTTTTCGGTGTTCCGCGACGATAGAGTGTAAAATTAGAGGCGAATAAATAAAAATGAAAAAAAACACAGATCGCGGCGCCGCAGTCGGCGCCGTTATACATACATATTTACATAAGCAAGAGAAGAAGAAAAAAAAAACGGCGTCGTAATGTGTATAGATAAAATAATTTTGGGATGCGCGCGACGCGATTATGCCGTGACAGACGATGATGTTATTACCGCATGACGAATAATACCAAGATTAATTATTATTAACGATTACAATTAAATATTGTCCTGATTATTATTAGAGACGTATGGAGATTTATTACTGCGACCACGAAAGCTCGCAAGGAAAAAATTGTGAAACTTTGATCTTTTATCGCAAGGGAGACACGAAACCAAATATATAAGCGTTTGTAAGTCACACATGAAACACAAACAAAAATAAGTTAACGAGAGAAAGAGCGAGCGAATGAGAGGGAGAAAGAGAAAGAGAGAGAGAAGGGAAGGGAGAATGAGAGTGAGAGAAAGTGTGCGAGAGAATGACAGCGAGAGAATGCACGAGAGAACGATGAACAAGAGAAAGTTGGTGCAAACTAACGAACGAATGAACGAACGAGCGAGCGAGCGAGCGACCGACCGAACGAACGAACGAACGAACGAACGAACGAACGAACGAACGAATGAATGAGCGAACAAGCGAACGAGCAAAGGAGCGAGCGAGCGTGAAATAAAGAGAGCAACCAACATGTGAGAAACATTAGTTCCGTTTTTGAGTGTTGAGAATGTTCATTTGTAATTGTTTAAATCTAATGAGAAATGTACTGTAAAACTATAAGTACTATAGGCACTAAAAATATATCATTTGTTGACATGAAAAAATAAAAAAACACCAAGTGGTATGTACTCTGTCCGTCGTTGTGCGAATGCACGCGTGACGCAACGTACGCAAAATAGAAGCGTTCGCGTGTCGCGAATCTTGTCCCGTGCGGATAACGACGCAGCTGCGAATTAAAACGCAAAATGACGTCGCGCTGCCGCGCCCGTCGAACGAAGTTGCAAAGTTATCGTTTAGAGCGGATGAAGTCCACGCGCGTAATTGACGCGTTATCGCCTGCCTGAAATCCATTTGAATGATAACCAGGCCGCTTCGAAATTTTCGTTCTATATCAACCCTGCAATCCCGTTAAACTGAAAGAATCAATGAAGAATTTCCAGATTCAACACTATTCGGATTATTGTCCTATCTTGGCACTATAAACCCGATGACTTGCTGTCGTTTTTCTCACGAGTTACACGGAAGGACTTACTTAAAAATTATGCAACATTTCACGTTCACATCTCATCATGACGGAATTTGCAGAATTAATGTATATGCGAAATTTCAATTCGGGAATCCGCGACTTTAAATACAGAGTATACTGAGAGAAAAAGTATCAGGAAAATAAAAAAATATTTATTTGATGGATACTAATAATATATTTACACTTAAATCTAAATTTTCTCTTATTTAAATAAAATAAACGATTGCTCTCGTGAAAAGTGAAGATTTAAAAAAAATATGGGTTTTCTTATTTGAAAAATATTTCATACTGATATAAGTATAAACATATTATTGGTACCATTTAATATTACCTAATACCATAAGTATTAATAAGTATTTTTTATTTCTTAGATATTTTTCTCTCGTGGTCGCGTCGGGTCGCGACGATCTTGCGTTCTGCGTTTTACGTCAACATCGTTTCTTCCTGTTTCTCCCCATTTTTTTACGTCTTTTACAAAAGTCGTCTGATTATCGAGCCGTTGCATCGGGAATACCATGCACTTAGGAGGAAACGACGCCTATGAGAGTCGTGAAATCGAACGTCGCGAAGAAGGTAAGTGACATTTCAATGACATTTGCGTGGAAAATGTCCTTATAACACGCGTATACTCTCTATTTACAACCCTAATTCACGTTCATAATTTAGATGCATAAAAAGAAGTTAGTATACTAGTCAGTATGGTCGCTGATCCGGTCGCGAGTTCGCGAGCGGAGTTATCGGAGCGTTGTATGCATGTACACGGAGATTAACAACGTACAAGGCGCAAATAACTGTAATCTACTATCATCGTGAATAATACTCACGTACGAGCAACGTGTTTCCCGTGTCGAGAGAGTTTCCACGTGCCGCAGTATTAACATTGAAAATGTCCCTCGCTGATTTGCTTTCAATATCTTGCAGAACAGCTAAAAATAAAAAACATGCATTTTTTATATTAACTGATATTCTTAAAATGCAATTTCAAGAAAAAATTATATTTACATATAAATAAATAAATGAAATTAATTTTGTATCCACAATGTGGAGGCAGGTAGTTAAACATTTTTCATTCAAGTAATATAAGTAGTACAAGTCAATGACAAATTTAATATCAGAGGAACGTTCGAATTTCATGAAGTTTTCTTTCATATAATGCAATTTACATGGATATGAACCGAGAAGAGATTAGGAGACTCAAAAGTATATTTGAATGATAGAAAAATGTTTATTGAATATATAATAGTCAGATATTACAGAGTAGCAATAAAAATGTCAATGATGACAATGTCGATAACGATGATGAATAATGAGAAGAGATAATAAACTATTATATAATAAAAAAGTATGCAATAAACTATATTTTATATGTATATACAATATATATACTTCACAATTTCAGAGATGTCCTCTTATGATTAAGTATAGGGGACTACCTTCGAGACGCTGTTTGAATTCCTAACCGCGTAGAGAAGCACTTATGAAAAAAGACACGTGTTTCCTATTTTTAGCTGCTCTATAATATATTCAAAGCCCATTAAACTTGTTGAGAAATACTTCCGAATATTTCTTTGTATAAGACATTGATTACGTTCTATGAATGTTAAGAAAATAGCATGACATCTCATCGTTCTCTGCTTTTCTTTTTTTTACAATTAACACTCGTCGCTTACAGTGTACTTAAAAAGAGATATCGTAAAGACTAATATATTCAGTTAATATATTTCAATATGAATATATATATATATATATATATATATATATATATATATATATATATATATATATATATACACAGAATTAAAATTTAAATCTACCGAACGTAGGATATATACTTATCGAAGGATCAAAATCAGTTAGACGGAATCGCAGGATGAAATAAAATCAAAGTGCAGAGATGATAGCGCGCATAATAATTATTGTTCAGAGAAGCACCTGGCTGTATTGTACTGCGCGTAATCGACGGATTTTTCTGTGGTCAATCAGAAGTTAATTCGACTGGAATCCACGCGCTTCGTTAAACAGAGTTGTTCTCCAGAGTGCTGATTCCAATGCGCGCGCTCGCTTATTGTTCGCAGAGAGATACTCTCATCGCGCAATTGGGGACGCGAGCGTGCACGTACCCACATCGGCGCATATGCATCGTCGAATAAATAATTGCAAATACGGGATCCGAGCGCGATTGGAAAAGTTCCATTCAAATTCGATTGTTCCCGGCAATATTCACAAAAGATTCGTCCACGTTATCACAACACGCTGGCGGACCCACTGAATAGCTACAACGGCTGTCGTTATGGCTGCTGTTGCTGTTGTTGCTGCTGTTGTTGCTGCTGCGATGTGGGGTTGCTGATGGTCTCCATCTTCTGCTCGTTCTCCTGACTTGGCGAATCCTGCTTCGTCTTTTCTTCGTTAGTGTCCTTCGTCGAGGGCGCCAGCAAAGCGTTCAACAAGCCTAACAGACGAAATTATTGTTAGACAATTCTCAGAAGCGATAAAAATGTTATCTTCAGGAATTAATAAATATTCGAGAATGAATTGACAATAAACATATTAATTGTTTGGTTAGTTGTTAATTAAAATCAGCTGAAATTTACTCACCGACAGTTTCTCCTTTGAACGAAGCTCCTAAGCAAAAGAAAGTCTCGATTAGATCGTTATCGTAGATAACACGTCCTTTCGAACAGTGCAATCTTGCTAAGCGTTATGTTTTTCATCTTCTTTGCTCTTCAAAGTCTTCTTTTTTCACACGAATAATTTAGTTTCACAAAAAGCAAAAGCAACTAACAAAAAATATATTCCAATCATGTGTCGTGTTTAAATCCTCAAATCTTTCGAATCTCTAATTTTCAATAAATTTCTCATTCGCAGCTCTATTCGCGAATAAATCCTACTAGCGCGATTTCCTCGTCACGTTGACAAACCGAAACAGTTCTTTCGCGCAGCACAAAAGAAAATATCGCAGCGTCGAAGAGTTTACTTCCAGATTGTTTCGGGTATTTGTGAAAAATAGAGACAACGTGTACGCGAAACAACGGCGAGCGTTATCGCCGTCTTTTTCTCTCGAACGTGAATCCGAGACGTGCTGGAAATAAAGACTCCTCCACAGCGAGAGAAGATCAACTTACACTCACCGTTACCGCGGTACTTATTCAACTGCTGGTAAACCTGCTTCATCCGCTCGATATTGATACGCGAGCTTTTGCTGTGGTTCACCATCGGTAGCGAGTACTCCTTGCCGATGATGCACTTGGCCGCATGCTGTATACTGAGCGGCGCGTTCCACGGCTCATGAATGTATCTAGTCGGGAAGTTCTTCAGCACCGGCAAGTAACGCCTGATGGACAATGCAACAGAATTGGATTAGAATTGGGATTTATGAATTTCCACGTACATGCATCATTTATAATACAGTAAACCCGATTAAAAAACAGCCTACGGGAATGTTTACGTCAAGAATGAACGTGAACTCTTTGAATACAGCATACTTTAAAACTACATTATCACTGAGTAAGGAATACTTTGGGCTGTTGTATATATAAGTTTTTTGGTAAATAAAATTATAAAAAACTGCAATTCTCTCTAAAGTAACTAAAAAAAGTGATAATTATGAAAAACTAAAATTTTTTCTCGCTAAACTTCTAGAGAAATCGAAAGCAATAGACTGAGATAAGCAAAATTTGATAAATGAAACTAAAAATAACTAAAACTTTCTAAAGTAACTAAAAAAATTAATAATTAATAATTTTAAAAAAATTCTAAAACTTCTTTCTAACTAGACTTTTCGAAAAATCGAATATAGGGGACTGAGATAAATAAAATTTTATTTATTACTGTCGTTAAAATACGTATATATAAAAGAATATAAATATAAAAATGCCCATTGCAACAGTAACATTGCAACAGCAACATAACTGTTGCTTGAGTCGCGAGTAGAAGCTCAAGAAACTCGCCAGACGTATATTTATATGCATCCATGGCGCAGAAAAGATTAATGAAAATAAAACTGGAAGCGCAAATGACCGGTGAGGCAAGATTTCCGCTAAACAAGATCTTGTTCTCGGGATTTGGAGATTATCGACAATCCGTAAAATGTACAGGAGTAACGGAAATCTGTCGTTATGCTGTTTAGTATCAGTGACGTTAAAGGAAAAGATTGAAATAGAATCAACGGTATCGATATCCAATTGGGGCACGGAGGACGAGATTTGCTCGTGTCGATGTCTGTTCACGCTTGTGTAACAAGGCGACAAGTAACAACACACCGTTTCGCGAAGATATTAATGATTTAACGAATTTCGTCGTCATAGTCTCGTCACAGTCTCGTCACAGTCTCGTCACAGTCTCGTCGCTGATTCGCCGCGGCAATCTCTCGCACGATTAAGCTTTAATACGACTAAGCTATTTAACCTACCATCTATCTTGCGACTGAATCCCGTCTCGTTTTGGGGCTAACGATCGATGCGTTAGAAATTAAAATCAATCAAGATCAAAATTTCTATTAGTCCGCGGCCACGATAAGCGAATATTAATCACCGCTATTGCACGTACGTTTCGTTAGGCACATAGTCGTTAAACGAACGCTTTACCCTGCCGAGGCACACGCCGAACCGAATCGCGACTGATATTCCGTTGATTCGTTACCTGATGTAATCACCGTTTGGGTCCGCCTTTCTGCCGAATCGTACTGGACAGTAGCAGTGGAAGAACTGTTGGAAGAACGAGCTACACGATAGCCACATCCACATGCCGGCATTGACGGACCAATCGGCGTCCAAGAGGAGCTCATCGAACACCTTGAAGACAAACAATTGGTTTCAATGTAACATCAAGTAGAACAAATAATAACAAACAATAAGCTGCCAATAAACATGATTTTGCGATTAGTTTGTCTATACTCAAAAAAATATAATCTCATCTATAGCAGAATTCCCCTTTTATACATGGCAAGAAGATTCTTCTAAAAAACCAAAGGAAAAATATTCTAATACATACCACAATATTTTTCAAGTTAGAGAAATTTTATCTTTTACTTACAGTAAAAATTTTTTTCGTGAAAGAAATTTCTTCTAAAAATAATACTTAAGAAGTAAAAAAAATATTTACTCGATGGATATTGATAACATATTTGTTTATACTAATATAAGATTTTTTATGAAAGCAATTGTTCATTCCATTTAAATAAAAAAATTTAGATTTAGATAAATATGTTATACATATATATATAAAAAAACTTATATATATAACATGTTATTATTAACCATTGAATAAATGTTTTTTTACTTTTTGGATATTTTTTTCTACCAGCATAAGATAGCATTCTAAGTAAACATATTTCTATTAACTCAAAAAAGGAAATAAAGAATTTATATTTTGTAGATTTCCTAAAATAGTTTACTTCAGTAGAAGAAGAATATTCTTTCACTTAGAGAATATGAAATATCTGCAACAGGAAATAGCAACTAAAATTCTTATTTTTTTAAGTTAAAATATTTCCCATTTGTGTGATTTTAGAAGAATCCTTTTGAAACCATATGTCAGAATATTTAGAAGACTAAAATAAAAAATTATTTCTTTTCTTAGATGCATCAATTACGTTTTCGTTAATAAGTTCAGCGAACGAGGCTTTCATATATAATTAAATGGCCGCGCCATTGTAATAAAACGATTTCGTTTGACTCGATTTTTACATTTCAATTTACTCGTTGAAAATCTTGCTAAATTTACAATTACACGGGATCTTGAGATCGAAAGGTCTTAAACTTCGGCGAGCGCATTTCACGTACTTCCGCGGCGAAATCGTATAATATAGTCGGAAAAGAATTCCGCGACGGGAAGTTCCTGCGGAGAGGAAACTCGCGGAAGGAAGTTTGCATTAACGATAAGAGCGGGTAGACAGAGACAGACAGAGAGAGAGAGAAAGCTGCAACGTGCAGCATCGCGTCCATCGAAATACCAAGCATGCCGTGACATTTTACCTTCATTCCTTCTTCCCACGAGATCCAAAGGTCGCCCCTAGTCAAGAAACAAGCCACCGCGTGTCTGGCCAGATGATGTATCCAACCTTCTTCCCGTAGCTGAGTCATAATCGCGTCGATCCACGGAAAACCCGTTTGACCCTGACGAGAAAATATGAATCTTTAATTTCACGACCATCTTTTCGATATTACGTATATTTGCGAACACAAAATGAAAACGATGCTGTAGTGGTTCAGATGTGTTACGGAAATAGGAACAACCAAGTCGCTGCTGTCAAAACTAAATTTACTAACTAAATTTACTAAGTTTACTAGCTTGAATTTTGATACTCCACGGCAAAAAATATGTCCTACTAGATAGAAAATTCCCATTATTATCAGTCCGCTTTCCTTTTAAGTTGCACTTTATATTCATCAGAAATACAAGACTGACGCTTCGCATTGCAAATTCATACCGAGGCTCCCGTTAGTTTTTAACAGAGATTAATTAATGCGTCCTTCTTGACGCAAATACAAAAACCGATGTCTTTTGTACTCACATGATCGCACTGTTCGATCCCCATGTCACAGAAGGATGATTTCACGTTCATTGAGAGCGCGGTAATTTTCCCTTTACAATGTTTTTTGTTTCAAGTCACTACGACGTCTGCAAGTGGAGTTATTCACGATTGTGTCGATCCGCGTTATAAATCGCTCCGCGTTATGTCTGCAGCGAGCCGTGCGTAAGGCACTACGTGACAAGTACGAGCAGCAGAAAGTCACCTTGCGCAGTGGCGACTGGCAGCGGCGTGCTCGCTACCCCCACTCCGCCCCGCTCGCTACCCCCACTCTCCTCACCCACCGCTTAGACAAGGATAGTCGCGCTCGCGCGGTCGTTCACCTCACTTTAGAAGGAAGTATAGCACGCCGGCGCGCGGGCGTCGTATAACCGCGAATTTCGAGCGACTTTAAGGCCCGATCTACAATAGATGGAGTAAAGAGTAGGAATAGGAGTAAGACGAAATAGAAATAATTTATTTCGCTTACTCCCTTACTCCAGTTCTTGCTACTTAATTCAGGCTTACTCCATGTGATGTAAACGGACAATCTTTATTGTAGATCGGGCCTAAGCGAAATAAATTATTTCCATTTCGTCTTACTCCTACTCCTTACTCCATCTATTGTAGATCGGACCTAACACGGCTATGACACGCGAATAAGTCGACATGAAATAAAAGGGAACCTCGCGCCAAACTTTGCACATGAGCCATATATAATAAAATATAATAGCTATATAAAATATATATAATTGGATATAATTTATATACAATTATATTTAATCTTTTTTATATAATCATATATAATAATTTTTCCTTGGGTACTGTAGCGGTCAATGTGCCAAATAGAGGAGCTTTAATACGTTTGAAACAAGTATATATATGTGATCGCAATAATTATTTTTCCACGTCTACACTGTAAAAACTGATGCGTTAAATTTAATACATTTCATGTGTCCCAAATCATCCACTCTTCTTTATGTGTAAATTTAACACAAAACATGTTAAATTAGTATAATTAATATGTATAATGTTAAATTAACTAAAATAAAATGTTACTTTAACATTTGAGAATTTATGGTTTTGATGAAATAAAAATGTTAAATTGACATAATCTATGTCTGACATATTAAATATGTCAATTTAACACAAACTGTGATTCCTGACGGTATTCAAGTGTTAAATTCTTGTGTTAATTTTTTACATGTTATGCGTGTTACTTTTTACCATATTTGTTTTGTGTTAAATTTACACATAAATGAGAGTGGATGATTTGGGATACATGAAATGTTAAATTTAACACATCAGTTTTTACAGTGTATACATAAAAAGAATTAAGTTTGTGAAGTCATGAAAAAAATTAAATCTATACAATCACAAAAATTCTGGTAAGCGTTGTTAAAAATAGCGACTGACAATTAAATGTGACGACAGTTGGATGCAATGGATTTTATCTAGCGCGATGGTTATGTTTTATTTAGCATTTTCTCGAATGATTAATATAATTATTGTCGTAAAAGTTGAGTTACTATTAGCGCAAAATTTTTTTCTTTTATTTCTCTGTGAGTATACTCGGCGAAGAAAATCGCGAAAAGGAAGCGCATTCGTCATCAAAGCGTCCTCAAAGCGCAAGCAGTTTTCGTCTGTGACCGAGCATGAAAATTAACTCACGTTTGCCCACTTTGCCAGCGCCTCTACGTTCTTGTCCCACGGTATTTGCACGCAAATCGGGTTGCCCTGCATCCGGTCGAAGTTGGGGTTCTTCGTCGCGGCGCAGTAAAAGAACTCGCGCCAGAGAAGCTGGCCGTGCAGCGACAGCGGCGGCACCGCTTTCTTTATCTAAAAGAAATATCATTGACGAGATATCCGAGGAAGCTGCCTGTCGACAAAGTCGCGCCGAGAAGGAGAGAGAAACGCGATATGTATCGTTTTATCGTTACATAAATATATAATAACTAGCGCGAATTTTAAGTACATAGATAAAAGAAAATCTCATCACGTCAATGATCGTCTCTAAATTATCAGAGTCAAGACTGAAAATAATGAGAGGTGTAATGCATCGAAAAAGAAACGAAGAGAGAAAAGCTCTCGCTCTCTAACGCGCGCGATATTCTTTTCGTAAAATATTTGTATCATCTTCCCAGCGCTGCGAGCTTTTGCAGAAAGCGCGAAGTCTACGGAGAACAAGCCGCGGAAATAAAAATTCGCCAGTATAATTAATGTGTCTCCCAAGTTTCGTTTAATTATTACAGCGAAGTTTCGAGCCGAAAGGCGGCGGCTGCGGAGGTAGCGGAAAGGTCGGAAGCTCTCAGGCAGGAGGGAAAAAGAGAGAGAAAGAGAAGCAGAGAGGAGGATGTCGAGGGAAAACTTCCGCGATATATCCTCGCAGCGTGCGGCCGCGCTCGGTGCATCGCATTATCGACGGCAAACCAAGAGAGAAAGAGAGAGAGAGAGAGAGAGAGAGAGAGAGAGAGAGAGAGAGAGAGAGAGAGAGAGAGAGAGAGAGAGAGAGAGA